CTGCGCGGTCTCCCTATCTTGGGCCGTGCTGGGCCATAGCGACGCGCGCGCAGTCGCACCCCGTGCTAGGCTTTTGGGCCGAATTAGTTGTCGCCGGACTTTTTCTTTTCCTAAAGTATTTTTCTAATCTAGTTTCTAAGGCAAACTTGTAAATTCAATATAAATTTGTGTAGTTGACCAAAAACTGTGAAACTAATTTTGTTAGGTTCCTAAAATCATGATCTATCTACTAGTATATCTTGTTCACATAGTTTTATAATATCTTTAGGAATTCTTTAATTAAATCAAGATGCTTAATATTATTAAGATATAAACTTGTAGGAATTTTTATGATAAATTGGTGATAGTGTTGACTCTAAAAATTTCACAGTAAATTCCTAATGTTATTAGATGTTCACTGTAATTTTTGTAGCTCCTGAATAATTAGTTGCTAAGATAGCTAATGAGTCCTTGTTCAAATATATATTAAATCAATGTAATGAATAAAGAAACACCTTGGGTTTGTATAACTAAAACACTTGTTGGGAAGTAACGCCTTATTCGACAACGTGGATACGTAGCCTAGTATGTTAGTCATTAGAGCTAGCTCGTTAGCTTGAGAGACATAATCGTATTTTTAAGAGTTGCGGTTGCTGTTGATTAATTACGTCTCTGCATTGCATCCACGTATATCATAATAGGAACAACGATGGATCGTGGAGTCGACCGGAGTAGCAGAAAAGATGATGCCTTGATGATTGTGTCACCACAATGGAGTGCGAACCTTTGGTTATATCTTACCCAAGTAAGCCCCGATGCATAACCCCTATTATTATACACTTTATTTTATGCTTGTGCAGTAAGTTTAAAGGAGTTGAATGAAATCCACTTGCACATATATATATCCTTATCCTATGAGTCTTACTAGTATGACAGGGTCGTGTAGATTGCTATGCTATAGGATCTCGGTAGAAGTCGAGTGGTTACCTGTCACTCACGAGAGATAGAAAAAGATATTATTGTTACTATCATTAGGTTACTATCACATGAAATATATATGGGTAATAATTGGAGACCGGGCGGGACCATACTTTGGGTTTGGATTTGGACTTGGTTAGGCAACCGAGCGAGGCTCTGGTTGCATTTGTTCCGCCTATGTCAATTAAGGACCATCCATTGCTGTGGATGGTAGTCTGGTCACAGACTTATTATCCTTAGCACATACTTGCTTATGGGAGCGGGGAGACTCGTTGCACTCTTGTCGTAGGTTCTGGCTCTTTCCGGACCGACTGATTGGAGGCGGGGAAAGGTGGAGGTCTAAGCACCACACTAAGACCGGGTCTCAAGTGTGGGGGCTTGGAGTCCAAGTTTAGACGGAGACCTGGACCCCTTGATAGGAGTGGGATGAGTTGGTTTCGTTTGTGCCTGGGGTACAAGCGGGGCGTGTGTTTTGAAGTACCCAGCTGTGATACATTGGTTCACGAATTGCCGATTCCATGAGACGATACGACTTGGCTATGAGCTAGCACCGTAGTAAGAACTAGAATATGAAAGATGGTAAATTGGTTCTGATTTCTCAACCCTTGCTTGAAAGTAGCAAAGGTGCTTACCTAGAATGGGTAGCTAATCAACTAAAAATAACAGCTAAAACTTGAATATAAGGATGCACTATTAGTAATGCTTCCTGCAAATGCAATAAACCAGCAAGCCAAATAAGCCTTGTATATCCTTGGAGTCTTTTATTTTCCTCCTGTCGGGTAAGTCTTGCTGAGTACAGTTGAGTACTCAGGGTTTCATTCCCCCTGTTGCAGGTGATAGGTGGATGCTAGAGCTGACTCTTGTGTGTGGAAACCTTCTGGTGGGCTCAGAAAGGATTCCTTTCACGCTGTGATCGTAGTGTTTATTTATAACCCTCACTAAAGGTTTTTATAAGAAAAGATGTAAAATCTGCTAGCATCTCTTGTATATAAATGTCCACTATATTAATACTTCACCATGTCATTAAATTAATCTTTGCTTCCGCTGTAACTCTGATCATATGTTTATTTTCCGCTGCAAGATAAAACTTGTGAACTTGAAATGTATAAACTCGTTTACATGAAAACTGTTTTAATCCCGTTGTTGCATTCAACTTGTTTAAGTACCATAATGTTGTAATAAAGTGATGTAAGAAATGGCTAAGAATGTTGTAATTTTATACTCTCATTTATGATTCTGTTGGAAAAATATGGATTTTTGAGTTCTCCCTCGGGGTGTGCTCGACGGAACGGCACGATTTAGTGCACTCTCTTGGGTACTCAGTGTCTAATGGAAGACAAGTACCCATGGGAGGGCATTAGATTATGCGGTTCTGCCACATGCTAGTAAGGTGCGGCACTTGATTATTATTTTATGTGTCATGTGCTTCATAAAATGCACCATCAACTCCTATTCTAACCAATTCGGCTATTGAGTAAAACATATTCCAGTCCATATTCAATTCCTTTTCACGAGGTATACTGAACCATTGGTTAAGTGACATATCCCTCCATATGTTTTGAAATGCCATATTTAAACTCTAGTGAGTCATTTTTACAGCTTTATGTCATTGATTTCTTAACATCTCTTCTATTGTTTCCATGTAATCATTATCCCTATTATCATTTCCAAATTCATGGCAATGAAAGCAATAGACACAAAGTATGTTTTTTTTCTATGAACTCAGGTAAGTTTTCCCTCTTTCACTCACATGTTAAAGTAATTGCTGGAAAAGAACCCTCAATATCAACACAATCATGTACTAATACTCCCTTTGGTCTAGAAGGAATGCGATTCTAGCATAGTGCTAAGTCAAACTAGGTTAAGTTTGACCAAATTTACAGAATCATATTGATATTTATCATATAAATTGAGTACCATTAGATTTCATCATAGAATATATTTTTATAACATACATATTTGAAGTCATAAATGTTAATACTATTTTCTGTGAACATAGCCAAACTTAAGAGATGGTCTGACTTAGACAAAATAAAAAAATTGTATTTGTTTTAGATGGTGACAAGTAGTACAAGGTTCAGACTGTCCTTTTATGCTTATATCAGAACCTTGGGAAAAAATAAATAGTATATACCTAAATACCTAATCAACTGTACTAAATGAAATATAACTAGCACTATATATAGTAGGCAATCAACTTGTTGCACTGCCACTATCTAGCGCACCAAATTCTTCAATTTCTTGTATGATCAATCCCCAATTCCCCATGATGGGACATTACCCTACATTATCAATAGAATGTAAGTTGAAGATTTTACACTATTGTATATTATCTTTTCATTCAGAATACTACAGGGCTAGTTGTCCCCATTGTAGTGATGTGTACAACTCCGTCGACCCCATGCTCCTCTCATTTTTTTTTTGTTCAGTTTTGGTTCCTCATCACCTATCTTAGTCGTTGTGTTTGTGCTAGGTTCATGGGTTGTGAGAAATCCACTCTTGAATCTTTGCTCATTCTTTTGGTGTCTGACTCCTATTGTGAAAAAAATTAAGTTGTTTGATCCATGTAACAGCAATCGAGAACTCTAAGATTGCGAGATGAAAACACAGGATGAGATCCAAATATTAAGAGCTACTTTAGCAAGGCTTAGGCCCTCTTTGGCACAGCTCTCTAGGGATTTAGCTTTCCAACTGTTCATCTATTATTGTTTAGGCACTATATATATACTATATCAAAGCCAGTGAAGCCCTAAAAACATGGCTTCACCAACTTCTCATATCTCTAGTTCCTTTGAGGTGAAGCTGAAACCATTTCAGATTAAAGCATGCAACAGTGCTCTACAATGATGCACAGTGCACTTCTGTAAACATAGCAGAGAAGTTGAAGCCACGGAGAGTTGTGCCAAAGAGAGCCTTATACCGGTCCTTGCTTTAGTACCATGCTAGCAATGTATCAAAATCCAATAAAGCTCTCAAACTCTAGCTTCACCAGTTCTCCATCTCTGTAGTGTATTTGAGAAAGAGAGAGAAGAATGGCCCTCCATCTTTGTAGTATAGGGAGAAGAATGGCTCTTTGCTACAGTGAGAAGTCCGAGCCTTGCCAAAAGAGACCCTACTTTGCAAAAATTTGGCCTTGCGAAAAGAGGACCTGCTTTGCAAGAATTCACTTATGTTATCTAGGGCAACACTTCCCCTATCCTGGCCAAGAAGCTAGTACATCACATGGGTACATTGATTTTGAGAAATCCACTCTCGAATCTCCTGACGCCACTAAATGCCAAATTTGACTGTGAGAACTAGCATCACTAACATGCATATTTATGTTCAAATAACATACTTCCACATGTACTTGGAGAAATTTGGTTATAGGTGCTTCTTAGCATAAAACACTGAAATATGTGTACAAGAGGCGAAGGAGTTCTAACTCAGCCGACAAATCGCCAAAGCACACACAAAGGGGACAAAGGCCAAATCCACTCATACTTGGCCCAAAGCAGAGGGATGTGGGCAGGCTTGAAGTCACAAGGTCGTGGTGGGCCACCCACCAAAGATGGGCCTCTGAGGAACCCATTAGGGATCAGCTGATCCCTGGCCCAGGGAGAGTTCGTCCGAACCCTTCTGGGCTCCAACCAGTCCCAACCGCGCGTCTCCAGAAGCAATCTTGGCATTTCCTAAAAAAAAAATCTTGGCAGTCCAAGCTACGGCAGTCCAACCTCCCTTGTGACCCGTTGTGACTTGCTCAAAAAAAAAAAAAACTCCCTTGTGACCCGTTTGGTATAGAGAGACGCAAAATAACTGCAGGAGCTGTTCAAGAATTTCTACAAAAAGCGCTCTTAGAATGTGACATGGAAACACGGGTTTAGCTCTAAGCCTTCAAATATTAATTTTGCAAGAATTCACTTATGTTATGTAGAGTAACGCTTCTCATATCCTGGCCAACAAGCGAGTGTACATCACAAGGGTACAGGAGTACAGGGCGAAAGAAGTAAGTCCATCAGCCTTTACAATTACAGCCAAGAAAAAATGAAAAAGATAAACAAAACCTAGGAAATCTGATGTCGGCTGCTGTTTGTCTCCTGACACCGCGGGGTCCAAAACCCTTTTTTTTTTAAAGCAAACCGCAGGCTCGCTCTGCTCAGGCGGCTGGCAGCTGCAGCCGCAGGCCGATGAGGCTCGATGCCGCGCTCAAGCCGCTCCGGTCGCAGCACGACGACCTCGGCTTGCTGCCTGACGACCGGCTCGAACCCGAGCGTGAGCTCCAGCCCGACCTCCTCTTCCTCCTGATCTGCTAGCAGCACCTGGCTCTGGCTCTGGCTGCTGACCGGCGGCTCGGCCTCGGCTTGGCTCACGTGGGAGGCCGCCTCCACGTCGGTGTCCTCCGACGACCCCTGCTGCAGCTGCAGGTGGTGGTGGTCGTGGCTGCCGGCGGACTCCTCGCCGTGCTCAAGCTCGACGACCATCGGCACCGGTTCCAGCTCCTCCGCCTCCTGCTGTTGCCGCTTCAGAGGAGGGCTGGGCGACGCGCGCTCGTTGTTGCCGGCCTTGCCCTTGAGGGGCTTGGCTTTGGAGGCGTCGGAAGACGAGCCCGCGCGCTTGAACCTCTTGCGGCCGCCGCGCGCGACGCGGAGGAGGTCAGCCGCGGCGGCGGCGTCAGGGTCCTTGGCGACGTGGCGGATGTCGTAGGCAGCCGCCGGCGCGGCTGGCCTGGCGCCTGCGCCGCCTAGCAGCGGCGGGGCCGCGGCGGCGTCGACCTGCACGACGGGGTGGCCCTTGAGCACGGCGCCGACGGCGTCGACGCACTTGTGCCACTGGCGCGACCAGAGCAGGCCGACGGAGCCATAGACCGGGTTGACGATGCGGCCGCACGCCTCGTAGAGCAGGGAGCGGAAGACGGCGGGGCGGGCGGCGTCGTCGGGCGCCGCGGCGAGCAGGTTGAGCAGCCCCGCCCGGCCGTAGAACTTGGCGAGGAAGACGGTGGCGCTGGCCTGCGCCTCGGGGGTGTCGATCCACTGCAGGCAGGGGCGGATGGTGCAGGCGTCGCTGCAGCCCTTGCGCAGCACGCGGCAGCCGTTGCAGCTCATCCGCATCTTCGCTAGCTCCTCCTCCTCCGGTGGTGGTGCTGCTGGTGGTGGGCGCACAGATCGCGAGCAGAGCTTGCTATGATGCTATCCTATTCCTATTCTCCTATTCCTATACGAACCCGGCCGGCCGCGCCCAAGTTGTTGGAGAGGAAAGGAGTGGGTGGGCGGTTTTTATAAGTGGAGACCCGGGAGAGCAGTGGGCTGCTCTGCTCCGCTCCTGCCTGGGTTAGGCGGGCGCCTGTGGGTTTTTTTTTGGGGGGGGGAGAGAGAATGCGGATTCGGCGCCGCGGGGCCGGGAATGGTCGAATGGATGTGTGTGTGGCGCCCGCCGCGTGGTTACCGGGTGCTTCCGGGCCCCGCTTTGCAAGAAGCCGCGTCCGAGGAAAGGATTCGAGTAGCGAAGAAACTGGAGGCGGCAGAAGGATCCAAAAGTGGGGAGGCCCCCGCAGCCGCAGGCCGCGGCGCGCGGCCTCCACGTCCCGTCCCGTGGGCAGGCAAGGAGCGCGAGGTCACTTGAGCCGGGACCGGTGGTGGCGGGTTCCATTCATCCTTTAACGCTTGGCTTGTTTACAAACGACGTGGGAACCGATGGAAGCCGGAGGAGCTGGGGAACTTTCGCCCGCTAGTCGCCCGCTCGCCTCTCTCTCTCTTGCTTTCTTTCTCTCCACATCAGATCGTGCTGATGTGTTAGGTCATTTCGCCAACTGAACTGGCCTCATTATACTTGCTCTAAGGTAGCGGAGACAGCGAGCTATCGCCCATATGTACCGGGGACGTGGAAAAAGGCTGGAAGAAACGTGGGGGCGAGAGGAGCGGAAAGGCGAAAGGAAACCAGGCTGGACTGGACAGGGCTCCCGGTTTTGTGGAAATCGTACAGCGACGGCCCCTGTTTCCGCTGTCTCTGTGGGCGGGAGCCAATACCATGGGCGGGTTCTGGATTTGGTCCCCTCCCACCGTCTCTCTCCACACCCCCACGTTGACGTTGACGTTGACGTTGTCCAACCGGACCGATCGAAAAATTCTTTAACCGTTTTTTATTTTTATATTTGAAATACGAAAGCGAAAGCGAAAGCGAAAGCGGATAAGTCGGACGAACCCGCCCCAATTATAAGTCCCCAACGGGCCTTGCTATTGCTAAATGATTATGGCCCCGTTTTACATTTCAAAAATTTTAACAAGTGCATGATCTAATTCGTCATCGAAGCTTAAGCAAGTGCACGTACGAATACATAATAAAGATGAAATTTGGGCGTCGTCTATAAGATGAAAAAAAGAAAAAAAATTGCGTGGTGAGCACAGTGGGCTTTATGAGATAAAATCAAATTCGGTTTAAACCGAATTTTGAATTTATTTCAAATTAAAAGTAAAAAGTAGAAAAGCGGTAATTGTAAAACCGTTTTCCTTTTACATTAAATCTGAAACATCTCAAATCTGAAAGCAAATACAAACGAAAAAAAATAACGGATTCGATCGGATTAAATATAGAAAACGAACATCCAAAAATTTTTTGATCTATCCTTAGCTATGATTATAAATGACTGGATATCCGTTCTTTCCCTAGGCATGTGTAGTAGATTTGGTAATAAGTCAACTATTTTAAATTTAATGAAGTTTATAAAAATATTATTAATAATTATGACTCTAGATATATATGGTATGAATATTACCGTCCATGATTAATTTAATAATACTTATTTCATATTATAGATATTTACTTTTATTTTAGGATTGATAAAGTTTTGATTTTTGATTTTCCATTTTTCGTTTTAAAATGTTCTATAGTAGGTTCTGTCTGGGTGTGCTCTTTCTGAATTAGGTTGGTAATTCTCTTTTATTCAAAAGAAATCCATACCAGACAAAGGTTTTCGGCGAGTCTTTCTAGTTAGAGCAACAAGTAGAAAAGTCCATCTTTCTTCATATATGGATAACCATTTAACAATTCTTAGGATTAATAAAGTTTTGATTTTTTATTTATGTTTTTTTTATTTTCCATTTTCTATTCTAAAATGTTCTATAGTAGGTTGGGTGTGCTCTTTCTGAATTAGGTTGGTACAATTCTCTTTTATTCATAGTTATTAAGGCGGTAAGGCGAGGTGTGGCGCCCGACCCCCTTCCAAACGCCTAGGCGTTTAAGGCGCGAGTGAGGCGACGCCTTACTAATGTCTTAATATATAATACCACTAGAAATCAGAAACAAATCATACCATATAATATCATAATAAATAGCGCTGCTACAGTATAGGACACAACATAAAAGTAGCAAACTAGCAAATTTGAAATCTCTCATCTCTCAATAGGAGCAAATTAGACTCTAGTGACATAACATAACTTAATTACTAGTGCTGCTAGTCCATAGCAGCCACAGATAGCAAGCAACCAGCGGAGCAGAGTAGAAGGAGCAGAGCAGAGGAAGAAGATGCAGAACAGAGTCCACGCAGCAGAAAGCGAGAGGAAGGAGATCAGAGGCGAGAGGAAGGAGGAGAAAAGGGGACGACCAAGAAGGCAAGGGCGGATCGTGGGGATTGGGGATGACCTCTTCTCTTCCCCTCTCTCCTCTGTTTCCCTCTCGCTCTCCGGACGGTGGACGGAGCAGTCACGACGGGCGGGAATCGCAGACGGGGCGGGAGTCGCGGACGGGACGGAGTCACACGGACGAGCTGAGTCGTGCGGATGGGGCGGAGTCGCGCGGGGCAGCCGCCTGCGGCGGCCCCGGCACCAAATTTCAGGTGCTCCGCCACCCTCTTCTCTCTTCCTCTCTCCTTCCTTTCCCTCTCCCTCTCCCTCTCTCACTCTCTCGGACGGAGCAAAGTCTCGTGGACATGCGGCCTCACGCGGTTAGGACGGACTTGCGCGGCGGTCGCCTGCGCCAGATTCGAGGTGCATCGCCACCCTCTCCTCTCTTCCTCTCTCCTTCCTTTCCCTCTTCCTCTCTCGCTCTCTCAGACGCGATGGGGATTGGGAGCCTTTGGCGGGAGGTGTAGGCGCGGCGATGCTGCTTTTCCCACGCAAGGGCATCGCGCCGCTCTTTTCCCACCCGCTCGAGCGCGCGACGCCGCTCTTTCCCCGCACCATCCGCGGCGTCCGCCTCGGCGAGAAGGACGACTAGGCGACGACTTCGACCGCGAGGCGACGCCATACGCCAGGAGGATGCGGCGACAGCGACGCCGCGTTTGAAAATCCGCTTGGACGACTAGTCGTCGCCTAGGCGACGCCTTAAAAACTATGCTTTTATTATTAAAAAAAATCCATACTAGACAACGGTTTTTGACAAGTCTTTCTAGAGCAACAAGTAGAAAAGTCCATCTTTCTTCATATATGGATAATCATTTATTTCATATACTAGCGATGAAAGAATTCTTTCGGTTGCCAATTTTGTCGCTTATAAAATGACCCAAGTGTTTGTGCTTAGAGAACAAATACGCAACAGCAAACTGAGTATAGCCCATCTGGTTAAGCTTCTTATGGTCGAACCTGCTCGTTCGCATCAACTTATCATGGGTGCTCGTATTTTTCTAGATTTAGCGCTATTTTTTTCAATGGTAGGCGATGTGCTCGTTGAGACTTTTTCTTTATCAACGTCGAGACTTTATTAGTAGTGCAAATGGTAATGGAAATGTCTGAGTTTGTATCCGCTAAAATATTAATATGAATATCCATGTTCAAAATAAATGTGGACGTGGATGGATATTTATCCGTGTAGAATAAAACACTTAACTAGACCATGTGAGAATTCTTTATTTTGTTTCAAATTAATATATTTTTATGTAAATTATTTCCAAATGTCCGAGTTACCTATTTCTTAAATTAATGGGAATTGTATATTCATTTTCATTTTAATTTATGTTTATTTTTTTTATTTACTAAAACCTTCCTTTTTAAATATGTTATTTTTAGAGCGATCTTCGGTGCTTATCATAATTTCCTTCTCCTAGATCATCGATAAATAGAATGGATGAACTATTACCGAAATCAAATAGATATCTAATTCCAACTATCTTTTTTGCATATGGATTCCAAATTAAATATGGTAAATTTTCCTATATCTTTCCATTGCTAGGTTTTATCCCCCTAACCATTTTCATATTGTTTGTTTCTTTATCATGGGTTTTGTGAGACCAACTCAAATTGGTCAGTTTCAAAAAAAAAACTCAAATTGGTCAATGTTTTTTACAGCTTTTGACGGGTTATCGATAAATTTTGTTTGTATTCCAATAAGCAACATTTATGAATTATCATTTATTTCATATGTAGGCAACGGAATAACAGTGTCAGTTTCTGTTTTAATCGCTTGTAAAACAGGGCGCTTAAAGAACAAATACACATCAAACAGAGATGAATCTGCACTAGGGAAACTTTTGGAGGAAACTCGATTTATAATTATAATATTATCTTTTATTAACGATCTTTTCTGTGCAAGTATGATCCCTAGTTGAGTGTCTTCTCATAATTTTGTCCTTCTAAATCATCAGTAAAACCGATTGGATAACTGTCAGTAAACTCTATCACCCAAATTGAGTAGATGTCCAACTTCGTACTATATGTTTTGCATCTGAATTTGGATTTTAATTTAAATCGTAAAGTAAATAGCGCTATCCGATCCTTTTCCATTGCTAGGCTCTATATCCCCTATCCATTTGCATATTATTGTCTATAATTCTGTATCAGTATGTACACAGTGGAGGGAAATTTTCTCTTTGCAATTAAATTCATGGATACCAAAAGGGCAGAGAAAAAAAAGCACCAGACGGAGCTCCTTAAGGTTTCAGAGTATGACCTATATTTTATTTTAGGTTTCTAAACAGTATGATTTGGGAACTTTCCTAAGAAAAACGCTAGAACCTGTTGCTAATCTCCTGACAGAATCCACTGATCCAAAAGTGATTAGGGGCGTGGGCGTATTTGGTTAATCTACTCCGCACCATCCTGCAGAGCCGCATGCGTGTTTATAGTTGGCTATATGCCCGTGTCAGCGGATACAATTATATGAATGAATACAGGCTGACCGGATAAGCTTGAATCGAGCTTCTCTCCCAAGTCTAGCTCAGTGGATAGATTCAAAGAATCAAGGTTCTCTCCTGCATTTGGCTTAGTGGGTGCAAGATGAGGATAGCAGACTCACACGTCATTCTCACAAACTCATACAGATAACCAAACAAACACTCTCTTTTTTTAATTTGATTCCATCAGAGCTGTTTGGCACGGCTCCGACAACAACTTCGACAGAAGAGCCGGAGGGGGTGCACAAAATACCCCAGGACGAGTCATTTTTTGGTGAGCGTATAAAGAGCCATAAGTCTTTTCTTTTTAAAAAAATGCTACAATATGTGGCTCTTTCCTAACTCCTCCGAAGGAGGACATGGAGGAGAAGCCATGCCAAACAATCGCTCAGTCTACATCCCCTTGATGGAAGCCTTGTCCAGTAGGGATGAAAACAAATGAAAAAATCTCGTCCCAATTTCTACTTTTATCCTGCCTATTTATGTATTTATGGGATCCCATTTTCATATTTACAAAAATAGGAGAGAGGGTTTCCTGGCTGTTTTTGGATCCCGTTTTTAGTCTATGCATGATATGTCTAGCAATTACGTGTCATTTTGTTATGTTAATACACTTGCTAATCATCAATTATGCTTGCAAACGTGTTAACACATGTAGCAAGCAGGTGAATATTAAACCGATCTTCATATGCGTATATTTTTATGTGACTTTATACATACTCCATCCGTCCCAAAATAAGTATCGCTACAATATTCGTGCCAATCAAACTTTCATAAATTTGGCTAGGTTTATAAAAAATAATAACAATATTTGTTTCTTCAAATAAGTTTATTATAAAAATAGATTTAACGATCTATCTAATAATATTAATTATGAACCAATAAATATTAATATTTTCATGTATATATTTAATCAAAGTTAAAAATATTTGACTTCTCAGAAAGCAAAAAAAGACATTTATTTTGAGACGAAGGGATTACATACTTATACTAAATTTTAAGTATTAGATCATGTGATCCTAAATTTTTCGGCATATCTCGGTTTTGTTTTCAATCCTAGCTTTTCCAAACCCATCCCGTTTCCCAAAAAAAAATCAGAAACATGAAAGGAAATTTCTAGTTCATTTCCGACCGTTTTCGTCCCTACCGTCCAGCACCCAAACAACCAGACGTTTTCCACTCCTCGTAAACACACGATAAAATTCCGGTCGATCAGTCAACAACAATTTAGCAGACATGAAACTACAAAACCAATCTTGCGTCCGGAAAAAGTGCTGTTACAAAAATGGAAACATTAAACATGCTGAAATTCTCAGTTCAGCACACGGAACTACTTAATGGAGCATTTCTTACTCGCAAGCATGTTAACTGGAACAAGTTGCATTGTTTAAGAAGCAACATCTGCCGGAGGAGAAGCGACTGCATGGTCAGTGGTCACTACAACTGCGCCTCCAGGTCGACTGCAGTAGTCGAACCACTGGTGTAGACTGGGTGTAGATCATGGCCAGCCACAGGGTCAACATGGACCCATTTCCTGCCAGTCAGCTTGTTGCGCTCGAACCGCACGTGGCCTTCCTTAAGGCAGAAGAGAGTGTGATCCTTGCCCATGCCGACGTAGTTCCCAGGGTGGAAGCGAGTCCCCCTTTGGCGAACAATGATGTTTCCCGGTTCCACTTTCTGGAGAAGTAACATAGTTGTAGGCATTCAGTTAACAGACTTACACTATCATTTCAATTCCATTGTTCTCTGTCTAACACATGAAAATGAGCATCAGCATACTACCTATCGAATCTCATGAATGCCATGGAGTAAAAGAACCAGATGTAATATGTATTCGAAGGGTGTACCTCTCCACCAAACTTCTTTACACCCAAATACTTGGGATTGGAGTCACGGCCATTTTTAGTTGATCCAGCAGTCTTCTTGGTAGCCCAGCGTCTAAACACCAAGCTCATTCCTCCAGAAGATTCTGTAACCAAGCTTATCTCAGGTAAAATAATTGTTCAGAATAGGCAAATAGAAGAGAAGTGCAAGTTGACGTTACACCAACTGCACATGTTATCACCTGTTGCGCTAGCATACACCGAAGCATTTGAGATCAGTTCTTTGACATTCACTCTCCTGAACACTGATGTTAAAGCCATTTTTCTTGCCACAGGTCACCTGCAGCCATGAAGGATTCTGTGAACAATCTATGTCTATACAGCACACACTAATACAGCAATCAGATAAAAAAATCTACAATTCTACATACAGCCAGTTATTTTCAGAATTCCAGCTTCATCCACAACAAAATTGCAGTGCTTTTTAGTTTTGCCTTTTACCAATCCCAAGTGAAAAACTACAATCAGATAAAAAAATCTACATTTCTAGATACAGCCAGTTATTTTCAGAATTCCAGCTTCATCCACTACAAAATTTCAGTGCTTTTTAGTTTAGCCTTTTACCAATCCCAAGTGAAAAACTAGGGAACCCACTAAACTATGATAGGTAACTTAGTAATTCTCCTTTATAATGTTCTTAGACTGATCCTTAGTAGTTCTTCTGTTAGGAAAAACTGGATACAGCAAACAAATATTCAAAACATAAGAGGATATCAACAAACTCCAAAGATGCATGTTTATAATAAGTTTGATAAAGAAAGGAATAATGAATTATTCAATCATAAGGACCTGAATAGATATATTATAAATATTTTGTCTAAAAAAGTGGAAACAGATAATATACGGTTGCATTCAATAATGGACATAGGTGAGTATTACAAAGGAAAAGGTCCAAATTCCTCCATCAAAGTAAGGTGCCATGTTCAGAAAACCCCCTAAACTAATTGTTTGTTCGATTTACTCCCCCAACTATTTTGGAAGGTCCAATCTATGCCTTAATAAGATTTTTATTTGTTTCGTCAGATACAAATTGAGTTTTAAAGTTGAAACTGTGAGGTGACAACAGACATCATAATCCCTGTTAAAAACACATTATAATTTTTTTATTTTTTATTTTTTTATAGGTTAGGACATCTAATAAAAAATTAACCTTAGAGATACAAAATTGTAAGAAAAATAAAGTAGACAAATTCAAGATGTTTTCTTTTCCAAACAGGTTATGATGTCAACTATGACAGTATCACTCCACAAAATTTTAACTTAAAACTAAAAAACAACGTTGTAATATATATCGACAAATGGCACAAACACAGAAAGTACTAACATTTCATAGTACTCTCTTGTCACAGTCAGGCAAAACCACAATCATGACAGGGTTTGGATATTAGTGAACAACAATACAATATAGAGCTAGATGCAAAATCAGGAATTGATCGTAGGCTGCAGGATATAGCCATGTAGCAATGCATTTCGTACTGAGAGTTCTCAGCTAGTAGCTCAGCAAAGAACTATTTGCTTATACTTTCAATGGAATACATCCACAAGTTTTTTTGTGTATAAAGTGTAAACAATGAATACTTTCACATTCCAGATCTTCCTGAATAATATGAAATCTAACTTTGGTGCAAAGGGTATATTAAATACATAAAACAAAAGGACTAATGTTGCATAATGACATTTGACATCACTGGCCAGGTCTAAGACCGGTGCACCCTAGACATACCCACTCCCCAGGCCATGGGAAGAGGCATTCCGCTGAACCGAACCTGGATCCCGCGAAGACTTTGCATTTCAGACGCAACAACTACCCCGCAACACGGTGAGCAAATCCGCGACGAACCTGGCGAATTAGGGCGCCCGTCAGTAGAGTTCGGCTCGCATTCGCGGGATCACGTCACCGGAAACACCCCACAGGAGCGAGATCGAACGAGGCGCGCGAGCAAACAAATGATACTAGGCGAGGGTTTACTTACCCGACGGTGCGTGGAGGTGGACTGGTGGAGGGGCAAGAGGCGCCGCGAGACGCGCGCTCCCGGCGGTAGGGTTAGGGTGCCGCCGGGCGGAAGGGCGGGGCGCCTCGGCGGGACTCAACGGAGCGAGGCTCCGGGTATCCGGGAGTGGTCGGTTCGTCCGGTGTGGCCCCTCTCCGCCAGCGGGAAAGCGGGAGGGGAATGGATTTTTTTTTTCTGTTGGGCCATGGCCCTTGGGACTTAAAAGAAAAGAATATAATTATACGATGCGTGTGGATCAAAGTAGCTCAAGTTTAACTAAGTTTATAATAAATAATATTAATATTTATGTCTTTAAATAAATTTATTATAAAATATATTCTATGACTAATCTAATAATACTAATTTTGCATCAGGAATGTTAGTACTTTTTTATATAGTTTTGGTCAAAGTTCAAACTGATTGACTTATCGAGAAACGATATTTGCATTCTTTTGTAGACGGAGGGAGTACTAGAGCATCTCCGAGAGTACCTATTTCTCTTTCTCGGCAAGATAAAAAAATCCCTCTACAACAACTCTTAATCCTTACTCATAAAATTTACGCACTTGGAAAATCCGCGTAACTTTGTGCGGAGTCACGGTCGTGCAGATACACGCGTATTCTTCGGCCAATTAAAGGTAAAAGAGCGGAAAAAAGAATAAAGAGTATAAAAGGGTTCCAGATGCAAATGTACAATAGAGAAAGAATATATAAAATTAGTCAAAATAATTTAGAAATAGCATAGGATTCCTGATGTAAAATTATCTTCTTGCGAATTATTAAAAACTATTGGAGATAATCTTGTTTTTTCGGTAATATATTTTTAGAAGTTAAAAAACATATATTTTTTAAAGGAAAATTTAGGATACTCTCCGAGATGCCCTTGACCTCCGTCGCAATAAAATTTGGAAATTGGTACTCACGGTAATTTTCTTTATACACATTGTTTCAAATTAACGTACGTGTAGATAACTGGTAAATTAATCACAATTAGATAGGTACTATGGTAGAAAATGAATAGTGAGGATAAAGATAATCAATTCTAATCAGTTGTGGATAAGATAAAATTGTACGTACAACGCGAGATGTCACTATTTCGCGTCTTAAATTCGCACGCCTTTCAGGATTTCAAGACCAAACCAGTCAAATTCCACTATATTTTTTCAACTTTTTATTCATCATCACAATGACGTGGTTGACAAACAAAAATGCAACAGTAGTAGCAACAGCTTCGTAGCGCTAGTGGCAGTCCAAAAGCGCCCATCATTATCAACGCGCAGCGGTGCGTGTGTCACGGTAGCTAGCAGAGGAGCATATAGGAACCATCAAGCCACGGCGTCGTAGAGGCGCGGGGCTCTTGAATGTGCGAACGGGGCAGAGGCATCTTCTGGTTCCAAAAACTAAGATATCGTGCTGATTCCCAGGATACTTTGGGGGTGAATGGTGATATCGTCCGTCCATGACTCCATGTGCTGGCCACGTCGTGGAAGATTTTACATCATTTCCACTACCTTTTTTTGTTTTTATAATATATATGGTAATGACTTCGTTTCCGCCGTGCATGTGTTTGCTGGTGCGCACACACGCTCCTCTCGCCGTCCATGGATCATCAAGGCTCGGCGTGTATCTGGCGTTTCCAACCCAACCGCGCGCTGGCCCACTAGTCATAGAGAGAGGAGGAGTAACTGTTCAAATCTTGGGACTCGCGCTTCCTTTCTCCTCCCGATAGTGACGCCTCAGATAGAGCTCGCTTCATCTGCGCTCGCTTCGGCTCCGTCTCCGTCAAGAAGAATCCCCCGCGGCGACCTGATGACTCCGCCGGTGACTGTAGTTTTTCGCCGGACCTGGATCTAGGCGGAGCACAGGTCACCGCGCTCACCGGTAAGTTGGACCCCATCCCGACGCTTCCACCTCACGGATTCGATTTGGATTTGTTCCCCATCTAACTCCAATCTCTTCCGATTCCATGGTTTGCTGGGTACGCCATGCACTGAAGGTAGCCTAGGCGGCGCCATTCTCGGTTTGCATGGCGAGAGGACCGATTCGGATGAGGCATATACTGACGGATTTGGTTGATTTTGTTTCACTTGCAAGCTTCTCGGCGACGACCGTGTCGCGGTCGTTTCACCGTCGCCGTGCAGCCCCCTATCGTGACGTGCTGCTCACCGTCGCCGTCGCGGTCGCCGAGAAGCCTGCCCCAGCGTCGACGACGCCTCGCTGCTTGCTTGCCCCCCATCCCCTCCCCGACGCTGCCGCCTCCTCTGACTTTTGCCTCCCTCCGCGTCACCTGTTGTAAGCACTCTCACCGTTGTTGCTTGCTTCCTTTCCTTCATAGAGAGATAGATAGATAGATAGATCGGACTGGTCCGTTCAAGCATTCTGGTTATTCATTAGTAGCGTATCCAAAAAAAATTTGGAGCCCTGGCACTCTGAATGAAAGGACAGACTATAATTCCTGCTTGTAGAATGTTGACTTTACATGCTCACCGGTGTTTAATTTTAGTCAGAAGAATAGGCTCTCCTGAAGGAAAAAAATTCATAAGCATCAGCCATTACACCTAGTGATGAAACATGTACCCTAAAATATGTAACCTCAGATCTGAAACCTGAATATCTTCATATAATATCGTTTTTGTCGCATACACTAAATTCTAGGTGTAGTGTCCACGTCTCTGCGAGATAGCTGTGGCTAGGTCTGGTGGACATGCAGGTGCAGCGCACATCCTTATTGGCTTTGGCATAGACTAAGCATTGAATATGTACTACCCATAAAGATGGAACTTGTTTTTTTGTCTTCAGTGGTCGCAGTGCTAGCACCTGGTGCTTGCTAATGTTGCCCTTCCCTAACCATTACTCCATATCTTGATGATTTCACATAATCAAGTTGTTGCTCTTTTCGACTCTTTTAGGGTGCATTATATGATAAATCTAGTCCATGTAATTACTGATAAACCTGAAAGGCTGCATGTGCATGATACTAGAAGTCTATCTCCTTTTGCCCAAACCAATGCTTTGTTTGCTCTGGCAAGTGGCCTGAGGCATTTAGCATTCAGCCTAGAGGCATTTCTTATCCACATGCACACCATAAGGCTGAGAATTTAGATATTGTTCTTTAGCAACTTACTTCCTTGTCATAATATACGTGCGCTGTGTGTCTCCCTTGTTCATAACCCAAGTTGTATTTGCTATTTTTCTTCTTGTTTTAATCTATGCATTTTATGATCTTGAAAATGCCCATTTGCTATCACACATAGTTCCAAAAATATTCTGCGCTATGATATTGTTAATTAAGCGTTAATGTTGGCTATTTCTGCTCAATGTGCATCATTAGGTCTATTCTATTTAGGTTTTGAGATTCTTCTTGTTTAATTGGAACTGAATGCCTTGAATTTGTTTATTTTTAGCTTCTGCTTGGTCAAGGCACAAGCGAGGCACCCAGTCCATTTTTCTGCATCTAATTTGTGTATAAGCAGCTCTTGTCGGTGGAACTGCAAAAATATCTCAGGTGCTTGTTGTTTCCTTTCTTTTTATTTCTTCTCCAATAACCAATGTCATCTTATTTCTTAACAGTGTTATCCTTTTAACTGATTGATGTCAGATTGTCGCACGTACTATAACAGTTTACCTGTGATTGTTCAATCCCTGTCTATTTTGCATCAGTGGCAATCAAAACCAGTAGTGTCGATTTATCAGTAATTACATGAATATTACGAGGACTTTACTCACTACAAGAAATTCCATTAGATTTTAGTCTATGGTTTGTTGCCTGACCACGCTCTCTGATTTCTTTTTATTTCTCAAGAACTGCAAAATAGTTCTATACCAAGAGAACAATGCTATACCTTATCTAATTTACTTTACCAATCATGCTTTATGTATGCACTTTGAGTTCTTGCGAATGTGCTACATATTAGATCAGCACAATGTTTCCTAAACACTAGCAATAGCATGATGATCAATGAAGACATGCAGTAGGAAGGCTCACTTTGTTCCAAGCGTCTTGGCTCCCTACAATCTGTTGTGCTGTTCATTCAGTGATCATCACGTTGTTGCTAGTGTTTAGGAGTACCTATCATGCATGTCTTCATTTATGCTCCAGCTTTCACTTGTGCTCTCATCCCAGATGTAAATTAGAATCTTGTTGCTCCATAGTGCAGCGTTTCTACAGGAGCTAGGAGGTTTGGAACAGAGTGACGCGAGGGTGCTGATGTGTGTCTTATATTACAGTGAAAGTATTAAACTTCATGTATTGAACTGCTCTTCATGTATTGAACTGCTTTTCTGAAATTATGCATTAAACTGCTTTTTTGTAATTAGTAAATCCTAACATGTATTAAACTTCACTTCATGTCTATTTTTTTATTTTACTTATATTTATGCCAAATGAGCTGAACCCTTCCTCCAACATGGTCTCTTAGGTGCTGCTTGTGTTAGGCAATGGGTAGAGGACAACAAAGCCAACCTGCTGCTTCATCGTCTTCAACGGTTCCTAAGGTATGTGCACCCAATCCGTTAGCTCTATTTTTTGTATTCACCTGTTTTGTGCACTCAATTTTTAGTTGCCGCTATTTTCTAACCTTTTGCAATCCATCTCCTATTCTCAGCCTCGAAGACAGCGGGCTTCCCCATCGAGGCTCGTGAAGCTCTACAATGATTTGACTCAATCTCAGAAGAAAAGAATACGGGCGATAGGTTTTGGTGGTCTCCTGAAGATTGCTTCTAAAATCCTTCCTGTAGGTTTTGCAGACTAGTTGATAGCTGAGTGCTATGATGCTGATTCATCGAGAGCTGGTGTTTCCTGGCAGGGGAAGGATTTCAGTCAATGCTGATTCAGTATGTCGTGCTTTTGGTCTTCCAAACAATGGTGATGAAGTTAAGTATGAGCTTGATGTTGGTGCGATTAACTTCATCAATGGTGAGTATGGTATTGATGAAGGGACAACACCTACTATTGACTCTATATTAGAAAGATTGAAGGAGAATAAGACAAGCAATGATGATTTTCTAAGGTCCTAGCTGATGATAGCAATTCCAACATTTCTATATCCTCCAACTGGCTTAGCTATTAGCCCAAAGTGCTATCCAGCCATTGTGGATCTTTCTTGTGTCAAGAAGTTGAATTGGTGCTAGTTTGTTGTTGACCAGCTTAATGACGCAGCAACCAAAATGGGCAAAAGAAGATCTTTTAAGGGCTGCCTTCTTGTCCTTGTGGTAAGTTGCTTCGTGTATTGTTCTATGCTGTAGTGTTTGGTGAGTGCTGTAGCAGCAGCAGCAGCCACAGCGCCGCTGCAGCAAGCACTACCAATCTCAGTCATATATGTTTCTACTTCTTCATTCTTTCTTCTTATATTTTGATGCCCTCATTGATTTTTCATCTTTGCAGATTCTATATGTAGACTCGTTTCTAGTTGACAATGTACAAATCCCTTCCACCATGCCTAGAGTTACAGCATGGTCAAGGAAATTGTTGGATCAGGTCATCAAGTTAGACACCAAGCATGATGGCTCATTTGGGAAGCTTAAGGTATGTATCAATAGGTCAATGTGGCTTCCTTTTTGTCGCTAAAGTATCCCCATGTCCATATTATAACTTTGCCTATACATGTTTATGTGTCCAGTTGAAAGGATCAAGCTATTCTACTCCACAACCTTCATTGTTCCACATGGATGATATAAGAAGATTTGTCTCCTCAATGGTTCCCAGTGGCATTTCAGATCAGGTTTGTACATGGTCTCTTCTCTAATGATGTTCTCACGACTACTAATTTTTGTTAAATGTACTTGAATGTGTTTATGTGAAAAATTGTGTTGGCAGACCCGTTGTACATCTTATATGCTAAGACTCAAATGTTAATGTACATTGCCTTTCCTATTTACTAAGTTCAGAGTTTAGCCCATTGCTTGATTCTTTTTCAAAAAAATAAATAAATTACAAAATTTTGATTCATCCTATACTTCATCCTTTTTTCTGTGTAGTTTCTTCCGCGCCTACTTTTGACTTGTGTAGTAGTATGCTGATTCATCCTTTTTCCTAGAGTTCAGGTAAGCTTTTCATGAATCCCATGATGGCCTTGCCTTTTAATGAATCCCGTGTTCTTAGCATCCCCATTTTAGAATCTTCGCATTTTCTTAGGCAATTTAAGTGTCATTCGTGTAAGGGACCGTGACGTCTAAGAGGGGGGGAATTAGGCAACTTAAAACTCTAACTCTAAACTATGGCCTCTTTTTTTATCCTTAGCAAAAACCTATGCAAAAAAACTATCTAAATGTGCAACTATGGTTTTGCTAGTATGTTGCTATCTCTACCGCAAAAAGGAGTTATGCAACCTAGGTTCTAAACCTATCAACTAGCCTATCACTAAGCTAGGAAAGTAAAGCACAAACCAAGATTGCAATGTAAATACGGAAGCTAAAGAGTGAGGTAGAGATATGCAAACTCCTGTCGACGACTCTGGTATTTTTACCGAGGTATAGAGAAGCGCGTAAGCTTCCTCCTAGTCCTCGTTGGAGCCCCTCGCAAGGGCCAAGCTCTCGGTCGGGTAACTCCGTGGATAGCCCTAGGCCTTCCCCACATGCAAGTGGGTCTCTGGTGTGCCTTCCGGCAAGCCTCTGCTGGACCGCTCTCCGCCATCTTCACTATCAAGCTTCTGGCCAAACCGCCACGGGCCTTGTTCCCTCCGATGTACAATAATGGTGCGTGCAAGCACCGAGTGGTAAGAGGTATGCAAACCTCACTAAACACTAGGCCTAAACCTAGAGCAAGCGCATAAGCGGTGGTCTAATCAACCTAAGCACTTCGCAAAGCACCTACGCTAATCACCTAATGAATCACTATGCACTATGCAAGTGGAGATCACTAAAGTGGTGTATCAACACCCTTGGTATGTTTCCTCAGCTCTCCACTTCTCAAATGGCCGGTTGGGGGGTCTATTTATAAGCCCCACTGAGAAAGTAGCCGTTGGGGGCGAAACCTAGCTTTCTGCTACGGACCGAACGCTGCTGTCGTCCTGACCGGATATGTCCAGTCGTCCCGACCGTTAGAGCGCGTGTTGATCGGACTCTGGGCCGAGTCCGGTCTCATTCGATCGAACGCGTCCGGTCGCGCTGGCGCTGCTCTAGAACCTCTCTGGACTCGATCGGACGCTATACTTTATGCGTCCGGTCATCCAGTGCCGCTGCATCCGGTCACGCTGAAAACATTGTCGTGATGAAGAATAGTGTCATCGGTGCGTCCGGTCACTGCTTCACTCATCATCCGGTCACAGTTGCTGACACCTGTTGTTGCCGAGCAACTGATCGGACGCGTCCGGTCCCTATAAGGGCCACGTCCGGTCACCTCTGCCGAGCTCGTTTCTTCACGATCTTGCATCCGGCTTGGTTCCCATCTTCGTGCTTGGACTATGCTTGATATCTTGAGTCTTTTCTTGTGCTTCTAGGGTCTTGCTTATGGTGTTGATCGTGAGATCATCATGTTGCCTTCGTCCAAGTCACGTCTTGCACCCTATTGAAGTACAAAACAATTACTTGCAAATTTATTAGTCCAATTTGGTTGTGTTGGTCACCAAACACCAAAATCCAAAGTAAATGAGCCTAGGGTCCATTTTCCTTACAATCTCCCCCTTTTTGGTGATTGATGATAACACGACCAAAACAAGCAAATAATAAAAATTTTGGAATTTAAAAACTATTTACTTGCTAGGATGCAATGCAAAGGGCAAGGTTATATGATGCTAAAAGATACCACATGTAAGCACATGTAAGCTAAAGATACCACAAGTAAGCTAATGCATATCACATGTAAACATCTTTGGAAACTTATCTTGACCTTGCAAATGTCCCCATGTGGCATTATGGATTTAAGTCTCCCCCTAACTCCATAATCCACTATCCTCCCTTTCTCGGACCATTACCACTTGTAAATTATTACCATTACCACTTGTAAATTATTAAGATCGAGCTTGCTTTTGGTCCTACAAATTCTCCCCCTTTGGAATCAAACACTGAAAAGGAAGACATTAGTAGCACAAGGGAGGGTCAAACTTTGTGATCCTTTATATGTGGAATGGAATATGTCACAAAATTTAACTCTCACATTACATAGACTAAGCTCCCCCTAAATATATGCATACATATAATGGAGAATGTAGTTTATGTATAATTGGTAAATTAATGCTCAAAGGAGTTTAATCTATATAATGCATGGAGAAAGCATATAAATACCAAAGTGAAATCAATATGATGATATCGGTTTAGAAATACCACATGTGGAAACCAATTTGATTTGTGCCACTTGCAATAGGTGTTGGATATTTGAAGTATGATGCTTAACTCCGTGGACTCCATTTTCCTTGCAATGAGACTACTACACACATGATAAGCTTGAAAAGGTGTTAGTCTCAAAGCATCCAATTTGTAGAGTAACCTCTCCCTAAATTTGTGCACACAAGTATGGAATACTTGTAGGAGACATGCACATTATGAAGAAGAACAATCTCCCACGTCAAAGCTGAGCATTACTGACGTGGTACTAACCTTGATTTGCTTCATCACTCTGGCAAGGGCGGACTCCAGTCTCCTGAGCTCCCTGGTGGTGTCTTCCTCCTCGACAACCACCACCTCGTCACCGCGCTTGTGGAGGATTCGGACAGCTTGGGGTCGAGGTTCATCACGCTCGATCTCTTCTACCTTGTCCTCCTCCGCCGCAGTCGGAGGCACCACCTGGGGGCTCGGTGGCCGAATAGCGTGTCTGGCCACACCCTCCGACGCATCCAAGAGCGCCGTCTGCTCCTCCAGCACCGTAGGCTTCTCTGCTCCGGCCTCCAGCGCGGCATTGGTGATTTCAGCCTCCATTCCTGAAGACCCGGCGGCTGCCGCCATTGCCCCGGGCATCGCCGACCCGTCCACCGTCGACGCCAGTTTTTTGCCACCACCAAGTCCATCAGTAGCGGCGGTTGACTCCTCCGCCGGCTATCGAGCACCCGGGAGCTCCAGGACGGGAGCCGTCGGCATTGCCTCCGCCCTAGGACTAGCCCTCGGCTGCTCGTCAGTTTGGACAGGCGGGGTCAGATCCTCCGTACGCCTCACACTGCATCAGATCAGCTCGTCAGCCGCCAAACAAGGATAAGCATATGACAACCAAATAACTCCAAGACAAGGGTGCTTACGTATTGGCTTTTTGGTAGATTATTCTAAACCGGCGCTGCCTACCCGAGCCCCTAGCCGTAGCCTTGGGGTCAATTCCTGTGTCTTGGGGTGGAGGTCTCGCGGTCTCCGCCGTCAACCTCTCCTCCGCCCGTCGCTCCAGGACTCCCCTTGCCTATTGCTCGAGGAGTCCCGTCGCCTGCCGTTTGGGAACTCCCTCCCCTCCCTTCGATTGTTCTTCTGCACGCGTGGTGCGCGGAGGCGCCTTCATGCTCCATGGAGGAGCCACTAGAACTTCATCGTCATCCGACCACTCGAACATCACGGTACTCTGCGTTCAAGTGGTCTAGTCACCGCCAAGCGAGATGCCGCCTAGCTTGAGGGGAGCGGCACTTGCCGTCTTTCTCTTCTTCCGGGCCAGCTCGTCTGCCGCTGCCCTCTTCCCCTAGACTTTCGCCAACGCCGGGGATGGACTCTCCGACGAGATGCTGACGGCTTCCTCCTCAAGCTACGTCGGTGGTTGGGCATCTACTGCCTGTGGCCAATCACCCCTCGGCATGCCCGAGAAGTACACTGCTCTTTCCTGCGAATGGATCTTCGCATAAGTGAATTAGTCCAATGCTCGGCAACGACAAAAAATAAAAAGCATCAGGAACACACAATTGAGATATTTACTTGAGGAGGCAGATTCTTGCAGTGAAAGGGCCTCGTCTGCCCTGGCAAGTTGAACGAGGCAAGTGGAGCAAATGGCTCTGTGGCCCGCCCCTGCACAACGTCCATCGACAACATCTCCGTCCTCTCCCGGGTACAGTCGGTCTCCCCCTTGAAATCAAAGGATGCGTGGGCCCTCTCCTTGTAGGGCTGGACACGGCGCACTATGAAGCTCGCCGCCACCAGTCCACCGTTGGTCTTCACGCCCTTTATTAAGCCAAGGAGCTCCCTCACTTGCTCCATGTCAGCACTGTTCGGTTTCTCCGACCAGCTCTTTTGGCTCTCCGGGATGTGGTCGATGTCGTAGCGGATTGCAATGTGGCTCTGCTTCATGTAGAACCACCTCGCGTTCCACCCCTTCAACAAAGTATTCAGCGAAACAGTGATGTACTCACTTGCCATCCCATCCCAGAGTTATAGATATACGTCGCCGACCACCTTGGAACCGCCGCCACCTTTCTTCTTCAACCAGAACAGGTGTCTGAAGAGGTTAAAGTGCGGAAGAATCCCCAGATACGCTTCGCAGAAATGGATAAAGATCGAGATGTGCGAGATGGTGTTTGAGTAGAGATTACACAGACTAAGTGTCTAGAACTCCAACAGATCCCTCAAAAAAGGATGAATAGGAAATCCCAGCCCTCGCCAGAAACAATCCTCAAACACCACTACTTCATCAGTATGAGGCATTAGGAAGGGCTCACTGCTGGCTGGCCACCATCCGGCGGTGAAGCGGTCAGGAAGAATGCCCGCCTCCACCAATCTGTTGAGTTCTGCCTCTCCCGTGCGTGATGGCACCCACTCTTCATCACGGCTGGCTCTAACGCTTGCCTTCTTTGGGCTTGACTTCTTTGGGTTCGTAGCTCCCCTCTTAGGCGCCATCTCTCGAATCCGGATGTAGACTGGCGGTAGAAGCGTGCGTGGATGTGGATCTAGAAATGCGAGGGCTGAGGAGGAAGATGAAATGGCAAAGTGGCAAAGGTGGGAGCGCGGGGTGTGGCGGCG